CAGGGGTGCCCCCGACGTCATCCGCGACGCGAATCGGGGTCGCGATCGATCCACCCCCCCCTCAACCGACCGAAAGGCTAGGAAACTTGTCCGAAGGAACGACTGGCGGGATCGATCCCCAGGTGCAACAGGGGAATGCCGATAGCTTCCCGTCTGTTTTTCCATCCCCTTCGCACATGCGGGATGACGACAAGGATGAGGGCGGCGCGGATGACGGGAAGCTCAGCGCCGCCGTTTCCTTCCACAACAGCTCCCGCAACAGCACGGAATACAGCACGGATCAGAGTGTTGTGATCGAAACCGTGGCGACGAGCACTTTACATGAGGATACCACACGCGCAGGAACGGTTCGGGCGGCTGGTGTGGAGGCCGCGCCGCCGGCTTTGGTGGTTTCCCGTGCAGGATTCTCCTCTTCCCTGTTCGCTCTGTTGCAAGAGAGTTTCAGCTCGTCGGGGTTCTGCCCCTCATCCACAGTTGCCATCTCCACGAAGTCTGGCGGCGCGGACGATGCAGCCGCTCGCCGCGTCGTGCTTTCCTCGCGTTTTCAGCAGCCAAACCCCCATCATCACCTCCAGCGAAAGTCCACTAACGGGAAAGAGGAAGGGAAAGAGGAAAAGGAGGATAAGGGGACCTGGATGGAAGGCCTCCGCCAAGCAGCACGCGGCCCTGTCAAGGGGATCTTTTCCCTCACCGCGGTCTGCGCCTCCACGACCACCTCCGAAGGGTCGTCAGAGACGCCTCTTTGCGGTTCCGCGCATCTTCACAAGTTCCTCCCGGCGGCTTTGGAGGGATCGCCGACTTCTCCTTGCAAAAATCCTTCACCGCCGCCTAATCTCGCGGCGTTGTTGGTTTCTTCCGCTCCCGTCGCAGCGGGTGATGGGAACGCGCTCGTGAACGCTCACGATGACGAACCATCGCCACTGCAAACCAGCCGCTGCTTCCCAGAGGACACGGAGGGGGTGGTGGAGGACGCCACACGTGGCGGCACCACACCAGAATCGCTTTTTCTTCAGCAGCTCGTTACTTTGGCTGGAGGATCGCAGACGGGTGGATCGCTAAACGCCGTGGACGAAGGGAGAAGTTCTCTTTCTCGGCCTGCCCGTGTGTCCCCTTCACCACCACTTCTAAAATCACCTAATCGGTTTGGGGAGGCGCTTGCCGCCAATACGGCACCTTCCGAGGACGTTTTACCAGAGAACTTTGTGAAAAAAGAGGAAGAGGGGGCTGGTTTACTTTTAAACCTCAACGCGTTACCTCCTCTTCTTGTATCGCCGCCGTCATGTGGGCTCGCCGTCGGCTTTCGAGAGCGCCCAAGTGGCGAAATCGCGCCGAGGGCGGATCGATCCGGGGAGTTGGGTAGGGTCTTTTCGCCCAGCCAATGGGGTGCGAGTGAAATAAGCGTGTCCTCAATGGAGCGGTCTGCGGCCGGCAAACGCCACGAAGGCAGTGATCGAGGGGAGGCTCAGCTGCCAGGGGATACCACTTTCGTGGCGATGTCAGAACGGAAAGGTTGTGCGCTGCCGGACCCCTCACCGATTCCTGAGAATTTACCTACTGCGCAGGGTGGTGGTGTGATTCCCTTGATTCAAGACGGATACGACGCCAAGAATGAGGATGACGTAGCGCGGATTCAAACAGCAAAATCTTCTTGTGAGTTTTCCACGGCATCAATGGCTGCTTTGGATGTGTGTGTCGTACGGAGCATTCCACTTCCCTCGGCATCCTCGTCGTCATCTTCTCGTCGGATGTCCAATGTCGAGAGCCCTGCCGAGGTTTGTGGGGGTTCGGAGGGGGATGGGCTGTGCACGGGCGAGGGCGTACTGCCTGGCGTCAATCCCGCGGCTTCCATTCCGCCCGAGAAGGGGAGTCGGGATGAACGCACCGGAGGTAACCTCGCTGAGGAATCCGCCTGCGAGCAAACCAGTCATTTACTCTCAACCCTGAAGCAACCACTCCAGCAACCGCCTCAAGGGCAAGGAGGGGTGGATTTGAACATTCGGAGCAATCCGTCTCCGGAAACCTCCCATCGAATCCATTCGACCCATGATAAGGCGCTTCCTGCGTTCTCTGGATCGGTGGGTCCGTTGTCGAGCTCGTGTCCGGTCGCTAGGAGCGGCTTTGGTAATGGATTATCTGTCGCGTCCACCTCTGTAGAGCCTTCTTCCTTTCCTGAGATGAAGACAGCTAGTGGAGAGATTGCTTTAACACGCCCTGTGAGAGCCCCTGATGCCACTGTTGGTATTAAGGATGCGGCTAGCCGGGAAAAGGAGAGATCGAAGAGCGAGGGGAACGCACCACATGGGCTAAATGGTGAAGGGGGTGATCGTGAATCCTGCGGCAGCATCTCGGATGCCTTTAGGGTGCCTCCTTTTGCGTACTATTCCATCCTGCGTGCACACCGCCACTTTGCTACAACAGGTGCGAGCCTCCACAGCGTTGGCTCGAGCTACTTTGGCAACTCGTAAGTCTCTGCTCCTCTGAGATGCAGATATATATATATATATATATATATATACAATCAAAGCGTTCCGTGTTCCGTAGCTCGCTGACAGTGAGGGTATTGAGATATCCTTTTGTGGTGGTGGTGGCGGGGTACATGGGTACTCTTCTTTTTGAAGGGAAAAATGAATGCCACTAGATTTAGCATAGTAGGCTTCAAATCATCCCATGCAGCCGGATGTATACCGTTAGATTGTTTTTACTTGTATGATATCCTTGCTTATGAAGATTGAGAAGAGTTCCCAACTGTTTTTGAAGTCATGCAATATGTCTGTCTCCTTCGTTTCTCTATACTTTTGACAGATTTTATTTTTCTATCCATACCTCTCTTCTCTGCACACGTTCTCGCTTAAACACAAGCTTCCCATCAATTTCCGATTTTATAATTTCGAACTATTGTGTTTTCACAGCAAAGAGAAAGAAGAGTGTGAACAAATCCGACTCATCCAACAATGCTATTTTCTAAGAACATCCCAGAGACCAAGGTATGCGCCCCGTGCGTCACCGCCACCCCGGTCCTTTTCAAAGATTTCAACAAGACTACCAAGGACCTTTTGACGAAAAACTTTTGCGCGCCTGGGTCATGGAAGGTGGAATCCAAGTATAAAGGCCCGAAAGATTCTCTTTTTGTCAACCCACAGGCCGGTTCCGATGGCTCCATGTCCGTGGATGTCGAGTACGCGTTCTCTCAGCAGCCCGTTTCCGTGAAGCTCAACGTGACGCCCTCTTTGCACGAAAACGCGAAGCTCACTCTCAGCTGCAACAAGAAGGGCCATAAGCTGGAGACGGTTTTGCACAAGAAGGAGAGAAATCTGGTTGACTATGAGCTCATCCACGAGGCCTGCAACGTCGTGAAACGCGTGAGCATGCACGAAAAGCTCACCAAGCAGGTGCTTGAGGTTGGGCTTGGGGTGGAGGTGGTGCCGAACTGCCACATCGGCTGTGGCACCGTCTACAGGTTGAAGGAGTGTATGTGCGATTGGAACGTCGGCTGCCGCTGGGCGGATAAGGGCTACGAGGTCTCCCTATTTTCGAATCGTCAGAAAGCCCACACGGCCAACATTGTCCTACCCTTGAGTCTCACTCTGGGAGAGAGGAAACTCAGGGCTCTGGTCGCAGGGGAGACGATGTTCAGGACCCCGGCGAAAACCTTCGACTACGCGGTCGGCGTTTCGGCCACCTGCCCGATGTTCCCGTTGAACACCATCAAGGCTAAGATCGATCACAACCTCAAGTGGGCGGTTTCGTACGTTCTGAAGACAGAGGATAACTGGGCGGTAACGGTTTCTTTGGATAAGAATATGCGTTGCGGTGTGCTACTCTCACATAGTTAGTAATGTATTTAATGGATTATATACACAGGAATCTAGTACTAAGGCTGTTTTTTTCGTCTTTAAGTATATCAAATATATATATATGATACAATAATAAAGTTTATATACCCCTTCCTTACGAAGCTAAGTTATGGCTTTGAGCCTGAATCCCGTGAACTCATGCAATTTCTGTGTCAAAATTTAAAAATAAAAAGGTAGAATTTGAAGGGTTTATATACTTCATGAAATAGTCTTATTATTATTATTATTAGTATTGACAGATGTAGTCATTATTATGGTGTATTCAGTGGTAAACTCAAGTCAGCGCTAGCACAAAAATAGTTCAAATGTGGAGAGCGACAATTATTGAGATTCATCTATATATATCTTCCAAACGAATGATTCAGGTAGAATAATGTATTTCTTTTTCTATAGGTTGATGCTGGAAAGATGTAGTGTAATTTTTATTATTGTATTAAGGTAAGCAAAGGTGACTGAGGTTCGTGGGGATGGTTTTTTTTTCATGCTCCGAAGCACCAAAAGTGTTCACACATATTTCCATCGAAACTACTGCAGGTAGGAAATGAGAACTTTATTTGTGCCATTGCTGTTTTTCATGGAATCAAAGTATAGATAAGCAAACTCTCCTTTGAGAAGGTATGTTGATATAGTCTTGATGAAACTATAATTTTTTTTTTGCTTTATCGTTACTTTTTTGATTATTTGGGCTTGAAAATATTATTATTTGATTGGTTGTTCTTTGTGTCAACTGAAATTGGGTATCAGTACCGATAAAGGATAGCAAAGGCAAATATCTCCATATTAGCAAGGTAGCAAGGAGGGAATTCAATCTGACAAATTGCACAAACAGATGCATATATAACTATATTTATTATTAATGTGTGTGAAAACAACGGAAGGGAAACCAAAGTAAGCAAAGCTGAATTGTGTAGTCATTTTTTTCAATATATTTTTATGAATTTTATATACTGTTCCTTTCCTGAGATTATTATTTCACATATTCTCTTGAAAAATATCAATGATGAAATGGAATGCCCTCTGGAATGTTTTTCTATTCTGCATAATTTTTTTCTTAAAGGAAAACATTAACAACACACGATTAGCCTAGCTTCACAGAACGCCTTTGAATTGAACTAGCTTTCCAATAACTGGCAACCATGTCAATAGGGCGGATTCGTGTTCCCAACAGGTCACTTTCCAGAGTGGAACTATGGAAGTTCTTCTTGCACAACATGAGGGCGAGAACCTTCCAGCGGGCTGATGCTGGAGAATTAGGAATGCGCTATTTTGGAGGCGAAGGGGGAGCTTCTATGAAGCGACTGTCGCGCTTCAGCATCAATAGATATTCAGCCTTTCGGAGGGCTTTGCCATCAGCTAGCACCACAGTTACAACACAGCGTTTGTCTGGCTTGGCTATGGTGCATATGCAGTGTCTCCACTATTCCAGAAGCTCTCCAAGACGCCTTGCGGATGCGATGTCTCCGTTACCATCACGTTCCACCTCAGATCCCGAGTTGCACACCGCAGGGGGGATTCCTGCCACTGGCGATAATTTTAGGACTGGAGCCATAGAGACTGAGGACCTCGCAATGTCTGCTGCGAAACACGCTGCCACACCCGATGCTATTCATCCACCGCCATCTGGTGCCGATCCCTCCCACCAAGCAGGAGCAGAGCAGGGTGGGGAACCAAAAGACCCACCTCTGCCCTCAGCCCCGCCGGAGCTTTGCTTCTTCGACGATTTCGTACTGGAGGAGGAGGATTTGCATCTGCGGATGCTCACGGAGTCGCATCACAAGCACGGCGTCCCGCTCAACGTCCCACCGCAGCTCCCGCCGCACCAACACGACGTCGGGCCGCCCGCCGTCCCGGAGGTGATCTACCCCCGAAAGTACCAGGAGCGCATGACGAAGCTCGGGGCTGGGGCATTTGCCTACACCCCACTGCACGGCCCCCCACCGCTGAGCTCGGCCGGATCGCGCGCCTTCCCAGCCACGATCGCGCCCGGAGGGCCACCCATCCCTTCGTTGATACCCTCTACCCTCACCTCCACCCCTTACGAGGAGGGCGACCCCACCCTTCGTCCCCGCTTCCGCTGCAGCGCCTGCGGCAAGGCCTACCACCACCGCGCCACCGCCATGGCGCACCTCACCCTCGACCACCCCTCTTCCAGCGGCAACCTGAAGGCCGCGGTGGTGGAGGTGGTGGGGAAGGGGGGAGGAGGGGGGAGGGGGAGGGCGGACGTGGCACCAACACAACCCCGCCC